CGTGCAGGGAAGGATTTCACAAGAAGAAAAACTGAAATCTGAGATTTATGTGCTAAAACCATTTGCAATATTTTGTATTAAAACAGACCAGACTATCTGAAACCTAAAGATAAAACCCTCACTAAAAACCAAGGCATAACTAAATACTTACTTGGAAGATGACGAGCACGTGTACGGTGACAAATGAAGTTATGGGACAACCTGGGCTCTGATACCAAATTTCACTTATGCGGAAAAAACAAAGAGAGCTACTAAAAACAGACCAGCAGGCACAATGGAGACAAAATCCACATTAAGTGTAATCAGAAGTGTCATAAAGAACATGATGCTACACAAAGTCTTACCAGCAATCAAACAAACATGGCCAGATGCACAAAACGGGATTATCACCATTCAACAAGACTACAATGTTGGAATGTAGGGGTAGTGTACCAGGACAGATTTTTTGTGTGTACTGTCTTAAATGCCAAGCCTACAATGTTGGAATGTAGGGGCAGTGTACAAGGAATTGTGAAATTATTTGTAAGACAGACATGTTTGGTATAAAGTCAAATGTAACTATCTAACCACACATATTCAGATACATTGACAAGCACAGTAGGCAGCAAACAATTTTCACATAGCCTCTAGCACAAAATTAAAGTGGGTGGCACATGTTTAAAGCTATTATTGCAGCCTAAGTTTTAAGACACATAACCCATCATCAGTTTGGCCCATAGGTTAAGCACACAAGCTGCATTCATCATTTGTATAAGGAATCAAGCCCCATCATCATCAATATAAGGAGTCAAATAAGCATACAAGGCACATAATCCAATTCACATTGCCTCTTGCAGTTTGGGAAAGTCAACTTCATTTTAACTTTTGCATAAAAATGTGTGAGGGTCAAAGTGTGAAGTTTATTGTGGGACAGAGGGAGTAAGTGGGAAGCAAAATGTAAACACTCATTATCAGTACACAAGGTCCATCATTATCACATTGCCTCCTACACTTATTGTAAGTGGGAAGCAAAATGTAAACACTCATTATCAACACACATCATGACTTCAAGGAATCAAATAAGCACACAAGGTCCATCATCATCAGTACAAAGAATGAAATAAGCATATCCCATTACAGAAATTGACATAGCCTCCTACACTTATTCAAAGTGGGAAGCACATGTCAAAAGTAACATGAAGCTCATTCCAAGTATTACAGATAATCAGAAAAGGACATGCAATGCCATAAACTTCATAAATGAACTACATGAGCTAAAGATACTTCCCCTATGGCGAGTCCCAAAATATGTCTGCATATGGATCTGAAAAAAAAACAATCAAACGAGTTCACCTCCTCACCTTCTTCCACCGATTGAGAACGTGATTGTCATCGAACTGGGAGCCAAACCTCTTTCTTAGCGCCCAACCCAGATCCGTTTCCATTGATGTCCACCCGCATGCGACCTCAGATTCATCTTCATCGGCGGTGGCTACGACGGGACCATCTTCGGAATCTGTGACCAGTCCTTCGTGGAAATCAGACGAGCTAGGGTTGGACAGATGTGGGTGTACATCGGAAAGGGCTAGGGTTGGACAGATGTTCGAATCAGCAGATGAGCCGGAGGCAATGAGACTTTCATCTATGGAAGGGGTGAATGACTTCGATTCCATACGCACAAAGAAGAAGATGAAAGGTCTAGAGAGAGAGAAGGGGAGTCGTTTCATAGAGGAGATGGGGAGGGTGGGTGGATTTCGATTAAGGGGTTGGGGTAAGTGGGAGTGCGGGTAACGGGTTGGGGTAAATGGGGAGGGTATTTGAGCCATTTCAGCTACAATTTATTTTCATTTTGGGAAATGGGAAGTTCTTTCTAGGACAACCAAATAAGGAAAACGGGAAGTTCATTTCGGGGCAGAGGGAGTAGTATTTATTCAATGATAAATGTCAATTTTTTGAATTGGGATAAGTTTCAAACATGTAATATGTCATCGAATCACAATGTACTTGACAATTAAATTAAATGGTTATGCACTAGGTAATGATAATAGAATAGAAATGTATAGAACAATATTAGCCCTCTATTAGGGTGAAGTCAAATTCAATCCCTGCCATTGAATTAGTGATCATGTGAGAATTTCATTTCATCCTTACTTTTTCAAAATTTTGAAAAACTTAATGATGCCTGATGGGATAACATCTATTATTAATAAAAGGCTAAAGGGTCAAATAGGTCCCTTGTACCCTTTCGGATTGCTCAATTTGCCCCTTCAACCCAAAAAAGCTCCAATTGTCACCCTGAACTCGATAAAAATAAGCAAATTTCACTTTTTACAGGTTTCAATCCGGTCACCGCCACGTCACCCGGTAGGGTGCCAACTGTGCATGTGACGTGGCAACTTAGGGGGTCAAATAAGCTCCTGAACCCGATCGAATCGTTCAATTTACCCCCTCAACCCTAAAAATGTCAAAAAAACTTTAAAGGGTGAGGAGGTAAATTGAACATTTCAGTCGGGTTCAGGGGCTTATTTGACCCCCTATGTTGTCATGTCACATGCAAAGTTGACACCTTACCGGGTGATGTGGCGCTGACCGGCTTGTGATCTGCAAAAAGTAAAATTTGAATCTTTTTATGAAGTTCAGAGTGCCAATTGGAGCTTTTTTGAGTTCAGGGGGCAAATCGAACAATCCTGAAAGGTACATGAGCCTATTTGACCCTTTAACCTTAATAAAATACTTCGTACTAAATGATAAGCTCACTTGAAATATGAAGGTAAGGGTGTAGCATAATTGGTAAAAAAGATTTTTAAAAGCAGATCAAATTAAACCTTTTCCTAGCAGGTGGGGCCCATACTACTCCATAGGTAAGAAAAACCGCAAATTATATGGTGCAATCGGCGCACCATGAAGATGGTGCGCCCGGTTGCAAAAACGACGCAACATCTTTTTTTTTTTTTTGCTTTTGATGTTAAAAATGATAATAATTTTTTAATTTGTGATCCGATTTTTATAAAATTTATATCAACATTTTTTATTTTTCATGATCTTTCAAATGAGACCAATATTGTGTATGTAATTTTAAGAAATTATCGAACTATTATATTAATGAGTATTGGATTATAAGAAAAATCGAATCTGTTTGGGAGATGATATGTTTGTGAAATAGAAGATCGAATCTGTTTGGGAGTGGATCAGTGGCCTCAGTTACATTTGATAATACATTGAGTTACATATTTTTATGAGCGAGTTACATCTTTTTATAAGCAAGTTACATCTTTTTATAAGCGAGTTACATCTTTTTATAAGCAAGTTACATCTTTTTATAAGCGAGTTACATATATATATACACACGAGTTGCATTTGACATGTCTGAACGTGACTTACATATATTTACACGTAAAGTTACATATTTTTACACGTAAAGTTACATATTTATACACGTGAGTTACATATTTATACACACGAGTTGCATGTGAACTGTCTGAATGCGAGTTACATATTTTTTACGTAAAGTTACATATTGTTACACGTAGAGATACATATTTATACACACGAGTTGCATTTGACTTGACTGAACGTGAGTTACATATTTTAACACTTAAAGTTACATATTTTACACACAAATGTTAATATGTTAAAATTACATAGGCAATATTGGTCTCATTTGAAAGATCATGAAAAATAAAAAATGTTGATTTATATTTTATAAAAATCGGATTAAAAATAAAAAAGTTATTACCATTTTTTAAAAACAAAAGGAAAAAAAAATATAAAGCCATCCCGGTATACGATGCTCACCGTATACCGGTTGCCGCACTCAAGAAAAACAAGTGATAGTATAAGTTGAAAAATCTGTTCGACTTTTTGTTCAGTTTTTAACATGCTGATATCATTCCATGCTCACTAATTACTACCAGTAGTATAATGAAACATCGAGAAATGATTTTTTTATTGGAAACGGTCTTTGAATTGGATCGAGCATTTGAGCTCATAATATAAACTCTATATTACATTGATAACATCATATAAATTTTATTATTTTAAACGTAGTCTATAAAAAATTAAAACTAGATATCAAATGATCTTTGTAATCGATGTTCAATATATAAATAAATAAATAAACCATTCTTTAATCATTCATGTTAGTCGACCCCAAGCATGGTTTATATTTGATCTTATATATACATATACATATATATATATATATATATATATATATATATATATATATATATATATATATATATTACAAGTTGTTTGGTATTCGGTTCGATTTATGATTTTTGGGTTTTAAACAAAACCAAACCAAATCATTTGGTTTGAGCAAATTGCTACCAAACAGTTTTGCTTAAATAAACCTAAACCAAACCAAACCACCAATTTTTGATTCGGTTCGATTCGATCAAACCAAACCATTTTGTCCAACCCTACTTATAATTCATTTTGATCAATTCTACTACTCTGCAATTTCAACTTTCTTAATTTTATAAATTCTATAGTATAATGTAAAGAATACTTTAAATCATTCTTAAATCTACCGGCCAAAATAAAAATGTTATCATTAATTTGGGTGAGAGGTTATACTCCCTGCATCCCTAAATAATTTTTTTATTTCCATTTGATGGATATTCCTAAATACTTTGACCTTCTAAACAAATTGATATCGATTTACTCTACTACTCTTAAATAATGATAATAATAATGATGATAATACAATGTAAAACAGTGTTAAAGAGCGAGGCAGTCAAAGAGAGAAAAATTTTGAGGTGTCCAAAAATATTTTCCTATTTTCTTAATTTTGTTTATTGAGCATACAATTGTTTACCGGTCTGAGTAAACTGACAACGCCAGCGGTTCGACGCCGCCGTGCCGGCAACGTTATTTCAGTTATACGTGGTCTTAGTCGGTCCCACATCACTGCAGTGTTGCGACTTGCGAGTTTTCCATTTCTTTATTCACGCCATGATTCCTCCCACTCCTTTTCAGTTATATAGAGCCGTCGAACCTATCGATGGAGCTCATTGCAGAGCAGAGCAACTATGGAAATGCTTTGGCGGTGGAAGATGCCACGGCCGCCGTCCTTCTCCGCAATTATCGGCATTGTCGTCGCCGCGGCCTTAGTGACGGACTTCGCACTTTGTCAGAATCTAGACGCGGCAAAAGTCGATAATCCGGCGGTGCGTGAGCTAGTGATTCAGGAAGTCAACCGCCGCATCGCCAATGTGACCTCCCGGGTTTTCTCTAGTGAGATGAATGAGAAATCAAGTTTCTGCATTCTAGACAAGTAAGATTGAAGATTAAACAGTTGATTGTTTGATGTTGGAGATTAGCTTTGACTTGGTTCTTAGCAACTTGTTCTAAGTTTATTATTTCCAAATGCAGAGAAAAGGATTGGGATAATGCATTTAACTTTACCCAGAATTCGCGGTTCCTGAGAGATTGTGTTGCCAGAACTAAAGGTAGAGAAAAACGCGTATAGAAAAAGTCGTAGTTAGCTCTTTTGCTTCTCTTATTTTGTTTTATTTTATTATTCTCATCGCTTAGAGCTCTTTCATCATGACAAATCAGTACTCCAGATGTTCTTAACGCCATTAAAGAATATATTTCCTAAATTTGCAGGGATGATATTAAGAACCCAAATTCCAAGTAGTCAGTTAATCAATGTAGATTGGCTTTAGTGCTGATTGCTGAACCTCGGTTATTGATTACAAAACCAGAATATACATCTTTAAGCTTAGTATTATGAGTAGGACAAACTAATTAGGATGTGCTATATTGCACAGGTTTGAGCAATTGTATTATGCTAAAACTAAAAGATTTAAAAAGATCTTAGTGAATCTCTCCCTCACCCTTGAGTAGATGAGTAGAGTAGTTTATTCCTATTTAAGAGGCATTGGATTATTCCGATGTACAAAAAAAAAGAGGCATTGGATGCTATAGATTCCTGTGTGAGCTTTCCATGACGTTCCACTTCCGTAGCTATGAAAATTGTTGCATAACTGTTACAAGAAATTGTTCCACATTGATATGATAACTGAGTATACACGATCCACATCCATCATGTGGATATCTATGAAAAATGCAATTTGCCCCTATGAGAGAAAAAAGTATTGCATGTTGTGCCTGTCAGTAGGGAGGTGAGTTACTCCTCCTATCAAGTTAGCATGGTGGCTACACATGAATCTTGCGAAAAATCAGACAATGTGAACATTACCCATTCTCCATTATGACTAACTGAAGCCTTACAATTTTTTGTGTGGTCAACAGGAGATGTACAACAAAGGTTATGTAGTGCAGCAGAAATAAGATCCTACGTTAGTAACATCTTCCTGACTTCAATGAGTTACCAAAAGCCTAATAGGAACTGTAATCTTACTTCTTGGGTACCTGGTTGTGAGCCAGGATGGGCTTGTAAAACAGGGTCAAATCAGAAGTCTGACCCCGAAAATGTGCAAGATATACCTACAAGAACCATTGACTGTCAGCCTTGCTGTGAGGGATTCTTTTGTCCACAAGGCATTACATGTATGATACGTAAGTATACTAGACACTTTTATACTTCTGCATCAATTACTTATCAATTTAAAATTTTGCTCTTGATTGATTTCCCTTGTGTTACTAAACCTCAAATGAAGTGTTCTGTATCATTTTTATCAAATACAATGCAACAATTTTGCTGAAAGACAATATAATGTTTTGACAATACAATTACGCATGATTTTGAATTTTTTTATGGAATATTTAAAGGAAGTACTCCTTTCAAAAGTTTGTTTCTTTAAACAGCAACATGTAGTGCTTGTTATGATCTGCTTCTAGAACAGTTTAAAAGCTCTACCAAAGGGTAAAATTAGCTTTCCATGTGAACAAGAGTATTTATGAGACATTTTTTAGAATTATTTTGAACAGTCGATACAAATTAAGTGCTGTTAGAAGAAACATGGATGTTTATGTAAAAACCAGTCTTCCGTAAGTGTTTTGAAAGACATTTCTTTTCGATGTCCAGTCAAAACACTACAATTCTATTGCCAAATGCTCTATTGTTTTTAGTTACAATGGTTTTAGTAGAATTGCTATTGTAAACAACATTTCTTCTTACAACCATGTTTAGCATCACAACCAAATGAGTTTTAACAAGCTTGCTAAGATTCTACATGCACCACAACATCATGATGTGGCCAAGTAAAGATGCACTAGCCAGTGTTGAGATCCGTGTGAATGAATCTGATCCCTCTCCTGAGCTCAAAAGTTGAAATCCACTATAATACGGTCAATGGTTCCCACTTTGATCAGGTGGATGCTTTAATGGCAAAAGCGCATCCTATCCATTGTACAACCTGTACAAATCCTAGGATGGCTGGGATATTAATGAAGGCTTCCTGTCTAGCCACACTCATCCCCTAGTTGTATCCTTAAATCCGTATAATATGTTCATAGGGTATATATCGCAAGTGATACTCGCCAGAGGTCTCAATTGAGATTTGTAGCTTCGATTGCAAGTACAGAGGGCTGGGCTGAAATTGCTTGTTAGTGGGGCAAAACGGGAGTAACAATCCGATGGGGTCGGCTCAGTATAGTTGGTTTATTATCCAAACAGTATTAATGTATAAACATTGCCACGTAAATGTTTTCAAACATCATTTTCCATTAATGTGTGCCTTTTAGTACTTACGTGATTTTAAAAGAGAACCTCTTTCATCACACATAATTACTACGTACATATGCATATTGAGTTTTGAGTGTGCCCTTGTTGACTGTTGATGAGAGTCAAGAATTTCTAAGACCTTTTTCAACTTCTTTTGAAGCCTGCCCTTTGGGTTCCTATTGCCCACGTGCAACACTCAATAATGATACTGGAGTATGTGAACCGTAAGTAATATACTTTTAAGTTATCCCTTTTGCCATTTTAAAACTTTATTGTTATTTGTTGTAAAATGCTCATTGATTTGTGACTCCAGATATAATTACCAATTACCTCACGGGCATTCAAATCATAGTTGTGGTGGGGCAAATATCTGGGCAGATGTTGGTCGAAGCTCGGAGATATTCTGTTCAGCAGGATCCTATTGTCCATCAAATACTGAAAAGATTCCTTGCAGTAGTGGGTATTAATTTCTATCTTAATTTTCTCATGGGATCTATATTCAATTTTTTAATATTCCCTTGCAGAAAAAATAACTTTTCACGGATCAGGTTGGTAATAATTGGTTGTTTTGACTGCAAATCTTACCAATGAGCAATGGGATGATACTTAGTCTTATTTATTTACTTTTACTTCAGAATGTTCGCCTCCATATGTTATGGTGATGCTATTTCTTTATCTTGAATTTCTAGGAATTACTGCCCTACAGGTTCAACCGCCGAGAAAGGTAAGTCAGTTGAGCTTTAGTTAGAATATCCAATGTTCCACTCAACCTGACTAGTCGATTCACTTTCCTTTAACAAATGACTGAATCTATAAAACTTTGATTAACTTTTCCTCTACACTGTTGACTCATTCATTGAGGATCTGATGTTATTGATGGACATGCAGGATGTGTCAAGTTGACATCTTGTGATCCGAACACTTCAAGTCAAAATATGCATGCATATGGAGTTATTCTTATAGTGAGCTTCCTATATCTGAAGTTGTTTATATCTTCTTTCTGCAAACAAATGACACACTATTGAGTTGAAGTTTATAAACTACAAGCTCTTGCTTGACGTAAATGTGTGCTTTCAACTGTTATAAGAAATGCCATTTTGGGCTTTTTCCTTAAAATGGTGGTTGTTCTATGATACTGAAATATACTTTGTGATATATGTTGTATAATGAACTTTATCAGATTTATACTTTAATAGTAATGAGCTAATGACGTTTATTTTGGAAACTGCCAAAAACAAAAATCAGAACACTTTTTCTTGGTTTTCGGAATCTTGTTTGTAGTTAAAAAGGCAAACAAGGCGTAGTATGGGTATTTGTGTTTTTGACTTTTTGTGTTCCTTATATTTTTAAGAAACAATAAGAGGGTGAAAAGAAGAAATAAAAGATAGACAATAAATATTGATATCATTGTTCTTTTTTCATTTGTCATTTGCTTCAGGTTGCTTTATCTACTGCTCTTCTTATAATCTACAACTCTTCTGACCACATCATTACTGTTCGGGAAAGGAGGCGTGCTAGATTCAGAGAATCAGCCGCTAAAAGTGTGAAGGAGAGGGTACATGCACGTGCAAGGTGGAAGTCTGCAAAGGAGGCTGCTAAAAAACATGCTATCGAATTACGTTCTCAAGTTTCACTAAAACCTTCTCGCAAGAAAGCTATTACTATTAGTGACAATGTCACAGTTTTCAATGTAGCTAATAATGATCAAGATGCTGATATACACGGATCTAATTCTATAGGATCTAAAAAAACAGCTTCCTCGTCAACTGAAATCGAACCCAGTCCACTCATGAAGATGATGAAAGACATCAGTTGTGATAATTCTGAAGTCTTTAATTCTGAGGTCAAGGATAAAAATTTGAAAGCGAAAGTGCCAAAAGGGAAACAAGCTCAAACACATAGCCAAATGTTTAAGTATGCATATTCTAAACTTGAGCTTGAGAAAGCTCAGAACCGGCAAAATAAAAGTCTTACCTTCTCCGGTGTACTTTCCATGGCAACAAATAATGAAATAAGGAAAAGGCCAACTATAGAGATTGCTTTCAGAGATGTGACTGTTACTCTTAAAGGGAAAAACAAACATCTTTTGAGATCTGTCCATGGGATAGTCATGCCTGGGCGTATTACTGCTGTCATGGGCCCTTCTGGAGCAGGAAAAACTACTTTTCTTTCAGCTTTGGCTGGAAAAACTGTTGGGTGCACCTTAACTGGTTCAATACTTATAAATGGAAAGACGGAATCAATCCACTCATACAGGAAAATTATAGGTTTTGTTCCACAGGATGATATTGTTCATGGAAATTTGACAGTCGAGGAGAATCTTTGGTTCACTGCAAATTGCAGGTATACTGTGCTACTTATCTCTAAAATAAGGTCTTGCAATATATATCCAGGCATTGGATTATTTAGCTAAACTTTCTAAGAATGGCAAGTTAAAACTCTTTGTTCTGTGTGAATGTGGATGAGTTCATTTGATATACTCAGTACTGTGCTAACTGAGCTTTTTAGGTATGAAAATGGACCTACCAATATAGGTCTCAACATTAGCATGTACATTCAACAACACCTCTTCCACTGGTCCATTCTCAATTTTGTTGTTAAAGTATTTGTCCTATATCGTTTAAATAATCCAACACATAATATTCAGTATTATACAACAACCACAACAACATCCAAGCCTTAATCCCAAAAGAATTTGGGGTCGGCTAACATGAATCGATCTATGATATCGATGCCAAAAAGAGAAGGCATAATATTCAGTATTATATGCTAAATAATTCAATTTTGGTTTGAATTGCTAGTTTGGCAGCGATTGGAAGTATATTTCCAACATCAATTAAATATAAAACAATAATTCAGTACATAAGATTCTGGTCAACTCTTCCTAGTTGATCTTTAATAGAATTTGAGATAGAGAGAATGAGGAAGAAGGATTATTCTCATTAACTGTAATGAAGAGTACAGAGAGTATTTATAGAAAGCTACAGCTCTACTGAACTAACTAACTAACTGAAGTACAACTGACTTATACTAATACAATTCGTATAGTATATCTAACATTCCCCCCTCAAACTTAGGGTGATTTTGCTGGAGATGCAACCACACTAAGTTTGGTTCTTAAATCAATGAAGGATGAAGCAGACAAAGGTTTTGTTAAAATATCAGCCAGTTGATGTTGAGCAGGAATGTGAAACACTTGCAATTGCTTCAGTTGAACCATAATAGAATTTGAGATAGAGAGAATGAGGAAGAAGGATTATTCTCATTAACTGTAATGAAGAGTACAGAGAGTATTTATAGAAAGCTACAGCTCTACTGAACTAACTAACTAACTGAAGTACAACTGACTTATACTAATACAATTCGTATAGTATATCTAACAATCTTTTAGGATAGAACATTAGGTCTTAATATTTTATACTATTTCTACTCAAATCACTCATGCCTGTATTTTTTTTATCATAAATGCTTTGATATCCTATAGTTTTCAGTTCAGAACATAATATGTGAATTGTTTACCTAGATAATAAAATTCATCTCTAATGATGTTTTTTATTTGCTTGTCTTACATTTACAATAGTATTTTGCCCCTATAGTTCCCACAGTAGCATCTTAACTTGAACTTTTCAAAGACTGTCAGCAGATTTGCCAAAGCCAGATAAGGTCCTAGTTGTTGAGAGGGTCATTGACTCCTTGGGGTTACAAGCAGTAAGAAATTCTTTGGTTGGTACAGTGGAAAAGCGAGGCATTTCCGGAGGTCAGAGAAAACGAGTAAATGTTGGGCTAGAGCTGGTAATTGAACCTTCACTATTGTTTTTGGATGAGCCGACTTCTGGGTTAGACAGTGCATCTTCTCAATTACTTCTTAGAGCACTCCGCCGTGAAGCTCTTGAAGGGGTAAACATATGTATGGTTGTCCACCAACCAAGGTAATAATTACTGTGGCAACTTGCTGTGAGTTATGTACTGCTCAGTAAAGACTGTCATTGCCAGTTTAACATGCTTATTTACTACTCCCTCTGTCCAAGAAAAAAAAGTCAAAGCTTCAAGAAATATTTGGTAGTCCAGTTTATAAGTCAACTTTCATTTATAAGTAGTGTATGCTGGGCAAGCAGTTTCTATCAATTACTCCGGAGAGTCACTGAAGTAATTATTTAGGGTATAAATGTGTAGCACCTGGATCACATGGGTCAGAGGTGGTTACTTCTAGTTTCTCTCTAGGCTCCCTACAAACCACAGAGGTCTTTCCGCCACACTTAAATGTGGAGTTCTTAGCAAATGAACTTCCTAAATAGGAGTGTTTCATGCTGGTATGAGTGGTACTTTTTTTAGCTTTTCTCTATTCTCATCTCATCTCACGGTCTTACAAAATGACCGTTCACAATTTGCATAAGGTTGTACCCGGATAGAGTTGACTAAAAACAATAGGTTGTATCTCACTCAAAAGTGATTCTTTTTTTGGAAGGAGCAGTTAAAATATTTACCTCAAACTTATGGAGTATAGGATTACTGAAAATGTGGAAGCAAATAAATTCAATGATAGGAAAGCTTTCACATATTCCTGATACTAGAGCTGTTAGACTTGTGATCTCATATTCTCATGCACCAGTATAGTGTTTTAACTAGCTGCGAATTTATCTTACCATATTCCTATGGTAACTCTTTGATAAACTATAACTTTATGGAATACTAGTACTCGAAATAAAAAGCCAACAAATAAATTAACTAATAGCCACTTCACTTTTCAGCTATACCTTGTTCAAGATGTTTGATGATTTGATGCTTCTGGCTAAAGGAGGGCTTACAGTTTACCATGGCTCAGCTAAGAAGGTAGAAGAGTACTTTGCAGGTCTTGGAATCAATGTTCCTGAGCGTGTTAATCCTCCAGACTACTTCATTGATGTTCTGGAGGGTCTGATTACCCCAAAACCCAGTTCAAAGATGAGTTATAATGAGCTTCCTGTGTCCTGGATGGTTCATAAGGGATATGCTGTGCCTCCAGATATGCAACAGGATTTGCACAGAGATGCTATTTTGCCAACTGGAGTAAATGTTAATCATAATGATGGTGGTGTCAATGCAGAACGTTCTTTTGCTGGGGAGATATGGCAAGACATGAAGTGTAATATGCAGAGGCATCGTGATGTTTTACATCACAATTTCTTTACGTCAAAGGACCTTTCCCATCGAAGAACTCCAAATATTTTCTTGCAGTATAAATACTTCATGGGAAGGTGCCTAATTGTTTGGACATCTTTTTCTTATTACATTTCTAATCTAACTTTTGGTTTCTATTAGGAAATATTAAAGTAAAAAAACCTAAAATAGATGCAAATGAAAGAAAGTTCTACTTGTGAAGTACATCTATTTCTATTGGAGTAATAGGTTTTTTAATCGAGTCCAATTAAGCAAAACTTATACTAGAAATATTGGTTCGAAAAACCAAACGTTCTTGACATAAAATCGATATTCTCTAAATAGACCCACCATTTGACTGAGCACAGGGTTAAGAAAATAAAATAGACCCGATATTGTTCTCCTAAAATTAGATAATTTTGGGACGGACCAAAAAGGTAAGTGTGTGGTTTCTTTAGGGACAGGGGGAGTATGACCTATGGCTTTTTACTTGCAGTGTTGCATAGATAGAGTACTTAAAGTAATCAGTTAAAGATGATTGAATGGCTTCCAGTATTGTATAGGTATATGAAGGTGTGGATGTCTAATCTGGAACATATTAACAAGTTCACTATACGACAATGTATAATGACCCCGATTTTAATAGCATTATAGTTATATATGTGTATAAATGTGTGTGTGTGTGTGTATTCCGGCTAATCCACTAAAGATTATGTCATATTGGACTATTATTTTCCATTTATAGTAGTAATAGTTACTTCTTGACCTCACCCAACTTTTTGTCTCTTTCATTGAACTCAGGGTGGGTAAACAAAGATTACGGGAAGCGAAAACACAAGCAATGGATTATCTCATTCTATTAGTTGCTGGAGCCTGCTTGGGCTCACTGACCAAAGTGAAGGATGAAACTTTTGGTTTCCCTGGTTATGCACACACTATAATTGCTGTCTGTAAGTTTAAACCGTATTGATACTTAATATATACTTATGTGACTGCATGTTTTGCATGAAGGTTACTATATGTACCCTGATAGTGATTATTTCTACCAAAGTTCCTGAAAAACATTTTTATCAAAAATGTACAATGCAGTATATGAATTCAAGCAATTTCTTTCATTGCCAATTTATGGACAAAACATATGTCTAGATTTATTTATTTCAAGTTATTGAATTGCACTACACCCTTCTTTTCTTTTTTATTTTTAGAAAAGTAATTTCTTAAAAATCTTATTCTTTGCAGCTTTGCTGTGTAAAGTTGCAGCATTGAGAACATTTTCATTAGACAAGTTGCACTACTGGAGAGAAAGTGCTTCTGGCATGAGCAGTCTTGCTCATTTTGTATCCAAAGATACAATAGATCATTTCAATACCATAATTAAGCCAGCTGTCTATCTCTCCATGTTCTACTTCTTTTGCAACCCAAGGTCCACTTTTGCAGATAATTACGTCGCCTTACTCTGCCTTGTCTATTGTGTTACGGGTATGGGTTATGCATTCGCCATCTTTCTTGAACCGGGTCCTTCCCAGCTGGTATGGAAAGCTTTTAATTATTACAGTTTGGGCCCTATCCAAGATGACTTACTACCTAACTAACTATGGATTTTTCCCTTTCTTGCAGTGTGCTGTGCTTGTTCCTGTGGTATTCACTCTCGTCGCTACACAATCTTCGGGTAGCAACCTTTTTAATGTCATAGCTGACTTGTGCTATCCAAAATGGGCACTACAAGCCTTTGTTATCGCAAATGCAGAAAGGTACACATATCAGTATTGCACATTAATACAAAGAGCCTTTTCTGATGAAGTAGTGGTTGCAAACTTGCAATGGCTTAATTGGCTGAACTATCTCAAATATTTTTGGTAAAAATAATTTAAATACCCTAAACTTTGAAGAGGTGTGAGGTGAACACCCCAAACTTGCGCATGTAATATAAATATCCCAAACTTTATATAAAAAGTTATGTTAGCACCCACGATCATATGATTTTCTTTGACAAATGTAATTTATGGTCTTAAGTACACAATTCAAAATTATTTAGCGTTTGTGAGGATACAATTAACATATATATAGACTAATAAATTATTAGTTATTCCACAAATAGAAGCTAAGAGCTTGAGTGTTAATTGCATTCTCATTAATGCTGAATGTATTTAAATTATTGATTACATTTGTGATAGAAAAATCATATGATCTTGGTGCTAACATAACTTTTATATAAAGTTCGGGATATTTTTATTACATGCTCAAATTTGGGGTGTTCACTTCACACCCCTTCAAAGTTGGGGGTATTTGAATTATTTTTCCCAATATTTTTTAAATGTATTTTTACATAAACTAAAGGAAATAATAGAGCATCTAAAGGCCAAGGTTGATGTGTCAATTTTCTGCAATAGTTGTTCATGTAACGAAGTATCTTCTGAACTACTTTTTTTCATCAGCTGGTTCAGCGAGTGCAATGGAATAAGTTAGTGTTTAGTGACCTATGTGACAGATAAGCCAACAAAAAGTATACCAAACGGGCACATTATTTGGCTCTGTTTACCATACTGCTCAATCAATCATTCGACCCAAAATGCCTCTGATTCATCTTTTTTGCCAAAAACGGGCACATTATATGTACTAGAGCTGAAAATGAACTGAGCTCAACCAAACATTGGATAGTTCAAGCTTATTCATGGTTGCAAGCTTTTTCAAGCCTAATTGAAATTCGATGAACTTATAATATTTACTAACCTTATAAGCTTATTCGAATATGATGTGCGTAAATAAACATAAAAAGAAGAATCAAGTATGACACATTTACATTTCAAATATATTCAAATTTTAAACATATCAAAATTATACACTGTATGTTTTCTACTCCACTATTTCACTACTTCACTAGCTTAGGAACAAGCTAGGTTAGCTAGCTAGTGAACCTGACACATCCAGTTTGAGTTTGGTTTGTTTATTTTTAAATTTTAGCGAGTTTAAAAAAACGAGCTGAAAACAAGCTTTGATGGCACTAAACCAGAATAGTTCACGAATGATTTGGTTCTTTTATGGCCATAATATTAATTGATTACTTTTCTGGTTATTTAACTTCAGATATTATGGTGTATGGCTCATAACTCGCTGCGGGGCACTCCAGAAATATGGATACAATATACACAACTGGGGACTTTGTTTGGCCATTCTCATCCTTATAGGTTTAGTCAGCCGGGTTGTGGCATTCCTTGGTATGAAACTTCTTCAAAAGAGGTGAATGATTCCATATATCATTTCCTCGATGCCATTTCTTTCTAGTGTAGAAGTGCAAATGTTATGCACTCTGAGTACAATATTCTTGTGCTGTTGTGCTATCTTTGTTTGGTACACAATATGCCCTTTTACTTGTTGTGTCTATACGCTCATATCCCTTGTGCTGATCTTATGTAAATGTGGGTGGTCGAAATAACGATATACTTCTATTTATTAAATTCTTTTCCTTGAATCATTTCGCTTGGTGCCTTATGTTCCTACTATGTTGCAATCCCTGTTTTAAGCCATTTTACAAAACTATCTTACTTCAGATGCTCACAAGTCACAACAATAATATGATAATATCACCAAGTTGACAAGTTTACAAAAACGAACTGCAACCTAATTGTGCTAACATTTTTTTATGTGGTGATTAGTTCTTCTGGAATTGCTAACGAGCTGAGATTACTTTTGTAAAATAACACAAATTTATGATTATTAGTTTCCAGATCTCAAACTTTTTAAAATGTGGAAAGTGTTAGAAAAATTTAATATAAAGTTTTAAAAAAAATGGTTTTATATCAAATTAGTATCCCATTTGTCTAATAAAATGTTGCCAAATTTTATTAGACTCTCTATGTCTCACAAAATGTTGCCAAATTTATTTTTTTTTGTCATCTCAAAAAACTTTACCATTTCAATTTAAAGTAATATATGTGTGATCAGGGATAGATATAGGGGTGAGGGGCCGGGGGCGACTGCCCCCCCCCCCCCCCCCCCTCCCCGGACATTGTAAATTTTCTTAATATTTTTATAACAATCACACTTTATTTTGATATATACGTGTTTGTCCCCTTAACTTTTAGTTTTCAAAATAAGTTTATAGTCTTACATAATATAGTACTTAATATTTAATATGAGATGCAAAAGGAGAAAAATCTAAAATGGTTTATTTTGACTATGACAAATAAACAATAGAACAACATATTGGTTTAAGACTTGTGATACTTATTCTATAAAAATGAATTCTAGTTTTGTAATATTTACTTTATCTTTATGAGATAAATACTACTTGTTTTGTAAAACACAAGTAATATTATATAAATATATATCATTACCATTGTTAAACAGCTTTCACGAAGTGAATTCAAAATATAAATGTTTGTGTGACATTAAAATTATACAATTCATTTAGTTCTGGTTTAAAAAAATAGACAATTAATAAACTTTAAAATATTCTAGCAATAGTGCGAAAATAATATGCACCAAGTATATGAATTAGTAACATAATATTATTCTAAAAATAAATAATTTCATATTATTCAAATATTAAAAAGACTCATCGTTATTTACAAACACTCATGATAAACAAAAAAGTAATTCAAAAATTGGTTATTTATTTTGATAAGCTTCATACATTTAAACAACACATGGATTATTTAAAAAAATATTGGTGCATTTGTACATGTTAGACTCTTTATGATCAAATAATTTAATAAAATGTTAACCTTCTTTTATTATCAAATAATTTTTCTTTGATTTTCCATTTCCTACATTTTAATTTATCAATACTTTTTTGGGAGATTTCCCAAAATATGAGTATATGAAGTTTGGAATTCCAAATAGCACTCCTATGTTTTTATTTCCGAAATAGGACTAACATGACAGTATTTACTGTCATATTGTAGGCGTGTGATGGAGTATATGGGTCTAGGCCCCAGGACCCACATACTCAGAAGAACAGAAGGTACCATGATCACTGGGTGACCTCGTCGGCCATGCCCTCATCGACCAGAAAAAGGTCTACTCAGAATATGATCCAGAAGCCCGGAGAACCGGGTGCCCTCATCGGCCATGCCCTCATCGGCCATGCCCTCATCGGCCATGCTCTCATCGGCCATGCCCTCATCGGCCATAAAAAGGTCTACTCAGAATATGATCCAGAAGCCCGGAGAACCGGGTGTCCTCATCGGCCATGCTCTCATCGGCCATGCCCTCATCGGCCAGAAAGAAGGCCACTCAGAATATGATCCAGAAGTCAAGAGAACCGGGTGACCTCGTCGGCCATGCCCTCATCGGCCATGCCCTCATCGGCCATGCCCTCGTCATCCATAGATAGCCTCTAGAACAGGATTTTATACTTATCATTTCTATACACTTTGTATCCGGCCCATTAGTGGCCCTGTTGTAAATGGGCCTCCCAGGCCCAAGACTTGGGAGCCCAGCCCTAATTTTCTCTATAAATACTCCCCTTGGGAGTAGTTGTAGGGGTTCAGAATTCATTAATACAAATCAAATATACTACTTCTCTCTCTAGCTCTCACCTCTCTCTAGAATCTAGGAGTTAATACTCCATCATTTGGTGCTTTCATTGAGAGCTAGAACAATCAAGTTAGCCTCCTCCGTCGCTACCAAGCACAGCTAACTGACAATGGGAAGAACTAGGTCAAACCGCAACCTCCTCAGCAAGGCCATCCCTGAGGCCCAAGAGAACCGAGAACACGAGGAGGATGCTACGGCCGACAAGGCTCCCGTCGGGGATGTCTTCCATGAAGCCATCGGCCTCACCACTGACCTGCGAACCGACCTTAACGGCGTCGCCCCAGACGCCCGCATCAGCTTGGACAAGAAGCGCGCAGAAAAGGGGGACAACAACTCTGGGCAACCGGCTTCTCCTGTCGTTGACCCTCAGCTCCAAGCCGCTCTCTCGGCCATCATCGCCAGCCTAGCCCAGAACCCCACCGTCCTCAGCGCACTCATGCCAAGGACTGGGGAGAACACTACCCCACCTCCTCAGCCCCAGCCGTTGGCCATCAAGCTAGGCAACGACGAAGGGGTGGTGCCCCAGGACACGTCGTCATCCCACTCCCACCCTGCTTCCCCACTTCAAGCTGGACCGGCCCCAGCGCGTGGAAAAGCCTCAGCCTTTAATAGGCTAGGTGACACGCGTCGTCGGCCTGCTTCGGAGAGGATGACGGGACAGATTGGTGAACGTGAGCCTAGCTCACCAAGGGAAAGCTTGGGGTCCGTATCCCGGACAGCGGATCGGCCCCGCCTGGACAAAGGCAAAGGAAAATTGCATGAGGACAATGCGCGTCATCGAATCAACACGACTCAAGAAGCTCGCGTGCGCAACCAGCAAGGTGCCACTACGGCCGCCAAGGACCCTCGTGACTAGGTCATCGCCCAGCTGGAGAGGAGACTGGCCCAGATGGAGGCTAGGCAATCGGCCACCATCCCTACGGCCAACTCATCCGAGGGTCCAGGTTACCACGTGCTCATGCTTAAGGTCAGCGCCCTGGAGAGGGAGCTGGCTGACAGACGTGGTGACCCCATCATCCAAATCAGAACAAAAACTCCCTTCACCACGAGGGTGCTCTCGGCCCCAATACCCGAGAAGTACCGAGGGAACGCCATCAAGCCCTATGACGGCCGCTCTGACCCTCAGGAGCACTTCAGTCGCTATCAAAACAACATGCTGATGGTGAACGCATCAGATGAATACCTCTGTCGTTGGTTCCTTTCCACTCTTGAAGGGCCAGCGTACGGGTGGTTCAACGCGCTCCCCGAAGGAAGCATAGATTCGTGGCAGGATCTTGCCCAACGCTTCCTCACCCACTTCGCCGGAAGGAAGCGCGTGAGAAAACATTTCTCCCACCTTCTCTCCATCAAGCAGCAACACGATGAATCACTTCGGTCTTTCATCGATCGATGGACGAAGGAGACAGACGAGGTCGAAGGTGCTGATGAGCGCACCCTCCTCATCCTCTTCCAAGGCGTTCTCCGCAGCAGCCCCTATGCGAGGAGCCTCATCACTGACCCGCCGAGGTCATACACCAAGGCACTCCAACGAGGGAGCTTGTACGCTGACGCCGATGAGCTCCACTCCCGCAAGAAGGATGTAGGCCAACCATCAAAGAGGTCAGACGAGGCGTCGGCTCCAAACGCATCCTCGGCCGGGGGCCATGCCCGCCGAAACCGGAAGGAGCGCCCATGGCAGCCGAGGACGGACGTCCCAAGGACTACGCTCACGCACTCGGTGGATACCATCTTCGACTATGCGGTGGAGCAAGGTCTCATCCCTAAAGATCCCCGGTCGGCCACGGAAGTCTACGCCGTCCACCAGGGTGGCACTTATTGTCGTTACCACAAGAACACCTCCCACAATACAGACGACTGCATCGCGCTGAAGAAAGCCATTGAGCGCTTGATTCAACGGGGTGAACTCCACCAATTTGTCAAAGTTACCCCAAGGAACTCCACCGGCAATCAGGAAGGGGACACCTCAACGAAGAAGCATGAAATTGGGAAGCTCAGCGATGACGAGGACTTCGAGGAGCCCCAACTGAAGAAGCGTCACATCCGCTGACTGCGTCCTTCCTCGAAGGGACGCACGGCCGACGGCTGGACCTCCATGGTGAAGTTCTACCAGCAAGCCGACACACGGCTTATCCCTCAAAATACGAAGGGCCCTACATCTCGGCGAAGTTCTACCAGCAAACCGAAGAGGGTGCAGACGGCAGAGCCCCCACCCCAAGGTCAGAAACTCATTGGGAAGCTAACTCTTGTACGAGTTGTTCAGAAGGTTAACCCCCTCGGCCTCGAGCCACTGACCCTAATAAAAGTCGTTGCCATAAACAACGCACCTATTGTGTTCTGCTTATTTCTTGTAAAGTTTAAGTAAAGGATGCCACACAACAAAGCACGTCGCTTCGGCCCTTTCGAGCGAAACGCTCAGGTATGGCCGACGACGCCACACAAAACAGCACATCGTCCCGGCCCCTTCGAGCGAAACGCTCAGGCATGGCCGACGATGTCCCAGGACGAGGAGCCCGCAAACGGCCCACGTTTTGAAATGGGAAGCTCATCGCGTCGTCTTCGCGCTAAATCGCATTACGACAGGCCTGAAAGAATGGTCGAGGTGACAAAATCCCCACACTTGGGGTTGGGAAACGGCAGCCGTCGGTAACCGACCAAAAGCCTAGCCCGCGCCATAAATAGACGACGGGACCCCCCAAGGTCTAGGGACGCACCAGCGCCAGAGGCCGGACAGTTGCCCTCCTGGACTCCCTATCGGCCGAGGGAATAGCAACCCCCTCGGTCGAGCCTGAAAGAAGGACCCCCCACTCCTCGCTCATAGCAGTAGAGGAAGAAATAAAAGAGGGACAGCCGACGACCGTGCACTCGCCGGCCTCGAGC